GTTCATGTTTTTATCCGATTCATCTGGGTTGTCTTTACTTAATAACATAATAACTTGAGGACGTATGTCAGCCAGCATCACCACAAGACATGCAAACACACAACTCTTTTTGAGACAATGGTCCATTGTTTTAATGTGTGTAAAATGTTTTATATTCTTGGTGGTTTCTATATGCGACTGAAAAAGTATAAGTCATGTCATTTGAACAGCTTCACTGTTTTTGCTCCATCTGGAAATGGAAACTAGTGTTTCTGTGACCGAGCGTCACCAATCTAGTTTCAGCAATTTTATGAAGGAAGACATAAACACAGTGCAACATTGTTCATGCTTATTTTGGGGCATATATTTAGCATCATTTACAGTTCCCTGTAGAAGAAAGCCCATCATTATGCCTCATGTGTATACAGATGTGGATGTTTGGTGTTGCTGAGTGGTGCTGCTGGCAGAATGGGCCAGAGGTGGAAATAATTATTCATTATCTCAGGCTGCAGCTGACCATTTTTCTCTCTGATGGATGTGACTCTCTCTCTCTGTGCTCAAGGCAGGCTGGCAGTGAATTAATGTGACTGGCTGTTAATGAACCTGTTGTTCAGAACCTAATCCGAGCTTATTGAGGAATCCACTGCAGGGCTTTACCACTATATCCTCTATATCCAGCACTTCAAGGCTGCTGGAGGAAGCTGGTTAGTCACATAGTTTCCAAGTATGCTCACATTCACACAAAGAGCTATTCTTAAATATGCAAAACAAGACGGGTTCATAAAAGAGCCGTTTCAGTCGTGGCCTCCTGCACAGTCTTTGTGATGTGCACAAGCAGTTCTCATTTGATTAACATATGCCCTTTGTAATTATTTTAAGTTACATTTATGTTTCACATTCAGAACATTCTCTCATGACAATGAAACCCTAACACGGTGTCCTATCTTGCAAGGAATGCTCACCATTAACAAAACACGAAACCTGACTATTTTGATTTAATTTAATGACACTTGGCGAAAGAGGAGGTATAGGGAGGAAGGGAAACGATGTAACTGAGGAGGCAGGGAGAGCCACGATGAGTTGCCAAGGTGAGATGTTTGTTTAATCTCACCCCTTAACTTCTCCTCAGCTTTTGAAATCCCTTAGTTCCTCCTCCACTCGTTTAATCTCTGTCAACCCCACTGTGTAAAGTGACAGAGAGTTGGGTGGGGGCGAGTGTGAACACTAGGGCCTTATCCTGGCCCTCATGGTGGTGTGACCACTTCCTGCTCGGTGGATGGGACGCCTCTGTGAAACTATCGACCATTTCCTGTCTCAGGCTTCCCGCCTAATATCAAGCAGACCTCTCCTTCAATCTCTTTTCTATTCGGCACACTGCATATGTGATGCGTTTCCAAAATCTTACATATTGGACAATATGATATACTGCAGCGTCAGACTATTAGTGTATCATATTTAAAAACATATAACAGCAGCTAAAGTAAATCCACACAAAGGTTTCAAGTGAAGTTCAACTTTGGTGAACTTTGTCCTGTTGTTGACCAACAGCATGTCCAAAGTGAAGGAAGCCAATGTAGCTTTTGTTCCATCCACCTTTATTTAACCTCAGCTATGGGATGTTTACAAATTCTATTTTTCTTATAGGAATAAGAAAAATCATTTTTTTGTAATTTGGGTGAACTGAAGGATCACTGAGTCAGTCTCCAGTACGTACATTCTACACTATGTGCTCATACGTCTCCATACGTGCATGTTAGTGTGTTTCTATGTGCCTACATATGCACATGTGATTTATTATTTATGCCTGCCGAGGGAACGGAAAGTCGCAGCAGGATAAAGATCAGACTTATGATCACAAAACTAGCCCTGAGCACAGGAGCTCCCTGCTCTCCCATCTGTCCCATAAAGAAGCTACTGCAGGCAGATATGCTTCCAGTGAGTTTGTTTTTATATGGGGGCACCAGGGGCCAAAGAGACATGTGTTTTCGTGCACTGGAAAGAGGGAGTGGAGAGTACCTGGAAGTGAAGACCTAGACAGGACCCATCTACAGGCTCGCCAAGGAAGTTTTAATGAGCAGTTTGTGAATGCCCAAGTGTTTGTACTTTGACAAGCTTGTTGATAACCTACATTAAAAAGTGCCAAAGATTTCTTTCCCCCTCTCTTCTTTGTCTGCCTATTTTTCTGTTCTGTCATAATCAACATTGCCACTTGACGTAAGCTAAACTCCTTAGCAACATGTGTTTACAGTTTGATATCTCAGCATGTTTTGATGAAAGAACACTGGTAATTATCTCAGGGCGCCCTCCTAGGATATTCATTTCAGTGTACAGATGAGTCATCTATGGGTGGTGTTTTTTCCCCTCTCTCTCTCTCTCTCTCTCTCTCTCTCTCTCAGTTTGAGCAAGGAAGACAATGCTTTAATATTATTCTTCCATATCAGATTATTAGTTTTCTTCAGAAAAAGAAAGTCACTGCTTTCCTTCAAATGGATTGGGTTGTGTTTGCAGTTCAGCTTCTTTTCCTGAGCTTAAGAGTTTCTTGTCTTGGTTTTCTGTGCTTTGTAATCTGTAACAGCTAAACACAGCCCCACATCAAAGGTCCCCATACACCATTCATTCACACGGCATCCCTCCAGGTCAGATCGCCAACAAAGGCACTGTGTGGCAACCTTTGGAAAATGAGTGGGTGAGGCGACTCTCTCATGAAACGCACTGCAAATATTAATCTAGGTTAAATACGCTAGTTAGCTTTTGTTCCTCGGAAATCTGTTTCGAGCGCATAGGGCCCTCGCTTCACACCGGCTGCGAGCTTTGTGAACGAGTGCTATCTTGTTTAAATTTCCCCACCATCCCCCCCGCCGTCTACACATACACACACATGCACCTTCACTGTTTCTTTCATCCTTTCCCACCTGCAGACAGACTCTCCACGGTCATCAGCCCCATATCCCTCCCTGTTTCCGCCTCCACAACAGCTTATCATGATATACCGTGTATTTGTGTTGAACTCCACTCTGGCATATTCAGGTTTGTCTGACATGATCCAGGAAAAGTCTGCCTTGGGAGCCACATGCATGCCCTGTAATTAGACTGCTCTCATCTCTCTTTAAGCCTAATTTTCACCTCCTCTCACCTTTCTCTCGCTTTGCCTTTTCTTCCTTCTTCTTCTTTTCTTTCTTCCTCAGTCTCTCTCCGTTCCACTACCAATAACTTATCCACTGTCATCGGACCAAACCAGTGCCGGGGTATAAAACAGCCCCAGGGACAGGTGGACATCTGCCAGCCATGAGGAGATCCAGGCAGGAATGTGATCATCGATGCAGCTCAGAAAAAATATTTGAATCGTGGCACATGAAGGGAAAGGGGAAAGCAGACATTTGAGAAAGAGGCAGTGGGAGGATGTTTGATTTGGAGTGATGAAAACCCCAGTGGGTCCAGTATTCAATGCAATTTCAACTAAAGTGAGTCTATCACAAGATTCTGTGGCCACTCGCAGGCAGGCTGCTCAAGTTAGCGAGCGGGTTTATGAGTGAAATATGTGGGATAGAGACCAGGATGTTCTTTCAAGCCCCAGCAGGGTGTAGCAAAAAAAAACAGCTCTGCTCTAACGTTGACCAGTTGGAAGAATAAAATGAACGCTTGATTTCACTGCTCTCAGCTTTTCTTCCTTATTTTCCCATGAAGAGTTGGGGCAACGCTAATCAAAAGTGTCACTTTGCCCTCCCGAGCACATGGCTTTAATAAAAGTTGGTCAAGACAGAGCTCGGTGGCCACCAGGATTTACAGCTGAGCCCACATGGATATAGTGCAAGGCTCTTAAAGTTGAAGAAATGTTGGTTGTAAAGCTGTTTGCAAAATATGACTCGCATGAGTTCACAGTGTGTGCTGCGAATTCAAATGTTGAGAACATCCTGAAACTAGCAAAGGATCATTATTGTCAGTGTTGCCTCAGTTGTGTGGTCGATCATTGATGCGATCTGCCAAAGGATTTCTTTTCAGCTCGCAGCTGTTAGCAATTAGTATGTCAACTCCTTCAGGATGGGAGTTGACATATTATTGAGATTACATGTTTGCCGTGTTTTGTGTGCGGCCGCTTCAACAAAACCATATAGTCTTCACTTTATAGCTGCACACTGCAGGAACATTTCTGAATTGAAATTGAAAATATAAAACTTTTCTTCATCGTATTGTAAGCATCATGGCAGCGTGGGACCACTCTTCAGACATCCTGGGGAAGCTCTTATGCCCCTTTCTGTCAGCACATTGTAGTTTATGTTGCATGAACACATGCAACTTGATGAGGAATATCTAGAGAGTATATAGTCTCATAAATAAGATCACCAGGAGGATAAGTGTGTTTATTTTCATTTTTCGTCCACATCCAACAGAACCAGAATGAATGCATTTCTTCATATTTCTTCCTCCGTGACAAACTGTCCATTATAAAGGAAATACGCTTACACGCTTTCTTGTCAAGAGTTATATGAGAAGAATACCTTTCATATCCCACCAGTGAATATAGGGCTGCAGCCAGTTAGCCTAGCTTAGTATAAAGACTGGGAACAGTCAAAGCTATCCTGCTGCTGGCACTTCATATTCACGCCTAACTTTTACCAAGAAGAGTATTTCCAAAAATGACAAACTGTACCTTATAGACCTACAAAGCAACTCACTTGTTGTAAAAGTAGGCTTTTACAGCAGCTACACATCAGCTATACGTGTTGTTGTTGTTGTTTTCCTGTCACACTGAACTGTGCATGGAAAACCTGAGCTATTTTGCCTGGTTGCTCTCTGCTGGTTTCCTTAACAACAGAGGAAAAGACCCCCCCCCCCCCCCCCCAACACACACACACACACACACACACACACTGCTCTCCTCCCTCCCCTCTTCCCTGAGCTTGCCCTTTTTAGGCTGTTCCTTTTTTTCCATTTGAAATGGGGGATAGTATGACAGCTTATCCTGCTTCTTGTGGATTGGAGCCGAGAGAGAGAAAACTCTGTTACTCACTCCGTCTCCAACTTTGAGAGGAAGTTACCACCTCTTCCCCAGACTCTGTACACACACGCTCAGGCAGACACACACACACACACACGCTCTTCAGAACTTGAACACAGCAACAACAGGGAATCAACTGAAATAGTCAGGACTGCTTGTAATGCTGTGATTCTTTCTGAATTTGGAGGGAAAGAAGGCTTTGCCCGACGCTTTCTGTGTGGACTGAACCGTTTGAGAGGGACGTTTCTTGGTATGACAGACCGGTGAGTTTGACAGTTTTCAGTGTATGTATAGTACCATAGAAACCCCAGTGAACCACAGCTTTTCTGTTACTGTACTTTTACAATGGAGGAACTTTCTCTGTAGTTAAGTGTCTGCAGTCTGAATCGCAGCAGCTCTAGTAAGTTTTTACTTTACATGAATTTCTTGTGTGATTGTTTGTATTTTCATAATAAAGTGTGATTAAATATGATAGAGAAGTAAATGCGTTTTGGTAAAAGCAGAGTGAACTCCTTGATAAAGCCTGCATGCTGTTGGCTTTTGTTTACAGTAATAACCATTATCTTATTACGGTGTAGCACTCTGTTTTGTCAATATCAATTCAAGACTATAAGCTAAATATCCACATTCACCCAAGCAGTGTCAGTGCATCCAGTCCTGCTAAATGTGTGTTCTCTGCATGTCTTCGATGTGTCGCTTCCAAAGAGGAGCTGATGCTGCATTTATAGTTGAGACAGGACAGCAAAGCCCGGGGATGGCTTTCCTGTGCAGCTGCTATTGGCTAACCTTGTGGTGATTAATTAGTTGTCACTCTGCTACAATCAAATCAAATATCCTGTCACTTTTTTGTGTTTTTTCGTGAGGCCAGAAGGAGCAGACATCATCTAATCAAAAACAACTGAGGCGGGAGACGTCACAGGTTCTCAAAATGAGGCATGAAAAGTGTGCACATGGTGCATATGGCTCTGTTTCTTTTTCAGCTGTTCCCCATATTTGACGTGAACTCATAGAAACATTCATGAAGGACAGCAGTTGACCATATGCTTCAGCTCCCATAGTCTCTCTCTCTCTCTCTCGCTCTCTCTCTCTCAAACTGGACGTTTGTGGTTAGCACCTCTTATCAGGGAGAAGGCAAGCTGAGGGAAGAGGGAGGTGATGGGTGGAGGCTGGTTAGGGCTGGGCTGCTCTCAGGGGTCTCTTTTAATTCGCACAATCTGAGTGGGCCGGCAGCACTTTAACTGTGCCTCCTCCAGTCGATCAGATAACCTTCCATAGGATGAGTGTGAATGCCTGGTTAAGTAACCCCTTCAAGGCCGACTGGGAAGAGTTGACTTCTGTGTGACCTCTCCGAGCTATTGCCAGCAGACTGTCCTTTTCCCAAAACCCCACCGACTCAGTTATCAGTCGGCCAGTCTTATCAGTCCCGAGGATTGTTGTTAAGTTACTCTATTTACCAAGAGGTCAGAGGTCAGACTCTGATTTGAACTGCATGTCTAAACTCCAAGGGTACCGATCTGTTTTGCAGGGGGAGATACCGAAAGTTCCAATCTAAACAAAGCTGAGATAATTCAAGAGAAAATAACCCCACATAGTTTCACAGTGACAAGAAACAAACACAACCTCTTCCAAGAAAAGGGGGTAAAATGTGCTGTTAATTGTTTTTAATGTTTATTACAATAATGAAAATAAATATCTCCTGAATGGCCCGAAACTAGTGCATGTGATGAAGCCATATTGTAGAAAGCCTGGAGCAACTCCATAGACAATAAATTTGGCTGATTTAGCAACAAACTAAATAGTCCCAGGGGGTGTTCTCCCAGTCAGAGTACAGAGCAGCTTCTTTTAATTTTCCGTTTCTCATTTAGTGAAATGCTTCAGAACTATTAGCCAATATTAGAAAATAAATTATCTTAGTCTTACGCAATGAGGTAATTTGCAATTAAAATGTAAGTTCAGCAATTTCGGTCTTAATGTTTATACTTACCGTATAATGCGTCTCTCTTATGTCCCAGGTTTACCTGGACACGCAGAAAATTCTGCATCAAGAGTTCACTGTCGGTTGGTCAGGTTCTGTATGGTAGTATTGCGCATAAAGCTAGTGCAAACAGAAGCAATAGAAAAGCTTTGACATACATGAATTAGAATGAGTTATAATTTCATGGTTACTCCTTTTTCTCAAAGCTCTTCAAGGCTAGCTAAACACAGTATTACTTACAGTATTACTTACAGTTCAGCCTGACCAATTGTAAGACTGTAGCCCACCACTGGCTCCCTTAAACATCCCAGCAATCTGTGCTTTGGCAGAAAATATTTCCATTTTTACCCAAATCACACCTGACCTATGACTCTGATTGGCCTCTACTGGAGATCAAGGATAGTCATATCTTCACTGTAGAGATGAATGAATGATATGTGAAAATACTGTGGGAATAGATTTCATGGCGCATATTTAGGCAATGACATGCAGCCATTCACCCAGATCAGCTTATCATCAGCTGGTCTCTTTGAAGCAGTCTTTCTTATAACAGAGGGGTCCATTCAAACACTTGGCTCTCAGTTGTTACTGCTGCTATCTCTTATTTTTCAGTCAATGCCTGCAATTCACTGCAAACTGAAAAGATATCCTAATGGTTAGAATTTAAGGGGATTCATTCACTACTAGTTTAACCTTACAACCATTTCCATAATCCTGTTTTCGCTTTAGTACAAAGTGTCTTAAAACACAACGTCCTAGCCATCCACTGTATATAAGAAGTGGACGTAGTCACCGTGACGTCACCCATTGGTTTGGGGACTGCTGTTTTGAAGCCTGGAATTTGGCATTTTAGCCATCGCCTTCTTGGGTTTTGGCCGTTGCCACCTTGGGTTTTTACGACCAGAAGTGACATGAGAAGGTAAAGCTAAGTACAACTGAATGCTGAATAAGAGATTTTTAGGCGACCAAAATGTTACACTTTCATGAACTGAACCACAATGGGAAGTTCTAATACGTCTGAAACCCCCAAACCAGAAAGCATACCCTGCTTTATCGTCTACTTTACCCTAAATGGGATGATCATTTACTAAATGAACATCATGCTGCATTGAAGAAGACTTGAAACCAGCAATTAAAACCATAAACTTTGAGGTAATAAATCAAGTGAGAAGTAGAATCCTTTTCTCATAGACTTCTATATAATCAGACTTCTGCAACCAAAGAGTTGCACCCTGCTGGCTATTAGAAAGATAGCAAGTTTGAGGCACTTCAGCATTGGCTTCACTTTTCATACTTGGAGGTTGCTGCCTGGTCCTAGCTCATTGCATCTTCTATCATGCAGCAATTGGGTAAGATTATAAACAAAAGGTTTGCTCAGTGCACTTTAACCGGGAGATAATCCTGTTCACAAAATCGTTGTTCAAATGTGAATGGTGACATTATGAATAGTTCAATATGAAGATATACTTGGTAAGAACTTATGTTCTGCTTACCACAGCAGCTCTAATCTCACTGGCATTGAGTAACCAGGAGGCTATTTTAGAGTAATAGAGAAAAGGGCGTTTGATGAATGACTTGTCTCACAAACTGTGTTGAGCAAAGCTCCCATCAACCACTGATGTCTTACATGGGCTCAGAGCTTCACTGGTCCAGACACTCGCCTGTTTAAGCTCGGGCAGATGTTTGACATGCTAATTCCAGTGGGTTTGCCTGAGTTTGTACTCCTATTTCGGATACAAACCCACACACATACAAGCATGTAGCTAGACACACACATATGAAGGGAGGAACACCAAAACTGAAACGCACACAAAAATGCATTCTGTTGGTTCTGATCTGAAAGTCGTATTTACTCATCTCTATTTATAAAAAAAATATGACGCCACTGTAATTCTAAAGAAACCATGACAGATGGCAATACTGTTGATGTCTATTACTGGTCGCTATTATAGGTCCATTAGAAGTCATACAGGCCTTTTAAATAGCAGAAAACGTGCACCATCCTTCACTTTTACCACACAAATTTAGTTCCTGTCACAACAACATTTCTGAACCTCCTAAATCTTGCGGAGCCGCATCATGTTCATGGGCTCTATAGAGTAAATGCTACGGACCCAATCGTACGAAAGGCATACACGTGTTTTCTGTCACGGAGTAATCCGTAGGGTCCATGTAATTGATACAGTATGTGTCGTTGGCCTGCTGCTGGATGGTGGCCCAGATCGATGAAAAGGGTGAGATCATGGCTCTATTTTCAGAGCTCTGAGTTTAGGACGATCTAAAGCCCACTGCTTTGGAGAATCATGGAGGAATGTTCATATGAATCAATTTCAACGTACGGGAACGTACACAGACAATCAGTAGCTACCAACACACGGACACACACAAATAAACTATGTCAGCAAACACACACACAGCTGTGGTTCTGACTGCCATGAGCGCTGCTTGATTTGCTTGATTGGTACCGTGATAACAACTGAATGAAGATGGAACATAGGATATCTTTAGCATTCGGACTCTGCCTCTCATCAGGAACACATCTGGGTGCTATTAACCACTTGCCCTAAGCCACAGCTCAGTCCCATATCTCCCGTTACCTGCCATTGTCTACAAAATATGCTCTTCACCGGACAAGCAGTGCACTGTGGTTCCCTTTTTATGACCTAAAGATACACAGGGATTCATTGGGGGCAAGGGTTGCAGTTACTCTGAGCCAGGCTGGCGTCACATTGGCATACTGAATCATGTTGAATTTACAACCCTACCTTTGCTGAAAAGTGGTGTGTAAAGTCAAATAATTACTTGCCGACAATGCCTGACTGGTTTGATTCTGTGTTTACTCCTGGAAATGTTTTTGTCCTTGAAGCTGAAGCTGAAGCTCATTGAGTCCATGTCAAATAAAGTGCATGCCCAAAGCCAAATACATCAAGACTTGACTAAACAAAGCTTCCTTTCAGCACTATATCAAACACTGAACCATATTCAAGAAGTTTAGATGAGATTGAATCGTCAAATGGAACAAAAATGTCAAAGTTTGAATGGTGCACAAAACAACACAGGTTTAGATTTAAATTTATTTCCAGTTACGACCCACTCAAGAGGAAACTTAACAAAAGTTGGGCAAGTTCTAACTTCGCATTCAGTGGAGCTGTTAGTCTTTGCAGCTGGCAGCACACTGGAGTTCAGACTAGGGCCAAATATGATTTAAAATGTGTTTGATTGATTGTTTTTACCTACGGAGTGTTAGATGAGTGGGTGTTTTTCACATCAGGATAATTGAGTGTCATAGTCTCCTGAACTTAAGTCTAATAAGTGCTTTCAACAGTAACACACAGTCTTGATCAACAGATGTAGATTCAGATCTCGGACTTTGTGTCCTTTTGTATGCATAACGGTTGAGGCCGACAGTTCATTGTTAATCTCCTCTCTGCATGAGTGAGACACTTACCACTGCTCCTAATGCTTAGGATTGGTGCAGGGGTCAAATATCATACATGTACCTGGATGTATGTGCGGATTAAAATAAGTTACAAACAAATAAGCAAACTGCTGTCCAAGTTGTGTGATATGGTCGAAAGCTCCACAAAAAGGGAGTAAGTGGACCTTGGTTTGAGATATTACTGCTGTTTATAAGTCAAGAATAATCTGTTCTTGACTTCCTCGGGCTTTTGAACAGGCAGAGTTTGCATCACCCAATTTTTGTAACCTTTGGTTGAAGAGAGGGGGAGAAGTGCGACTTTCTTTTTCTGCTTTTCATCTCGCATTTGAGTGTAGCCACTCCAACGTGGCTCGTTTTAGAGAGTAAAACAAGCTGTAAAGGTATTTGCAAATACTCTCTGACCAAGGTCCGATCGAGGTCAACCTCACCTGGTGCTCCACATCTCTGTCCTGATGGCAACCACATGCCTGTCCTGTTTCCAAATGCAACAGTTTCCCTCTCAGTCAGATACTCTGGCAGGCCTTGACAAGGAGGAAGCAGCACTGAAGGTTTGCGCAGCTTGAAGCCCAAGATCTTTATGTCAAGAGGAACTTGGAAGAAATGCTCTCTTACTTTCTACAGATATGTCCATTGCAACCTTCTTGGACGTGGAGAGAATTCGCTGTGGCTTTCACAATGAATTACCTTCATCCTGATGACATTCATGAATGCTTCCACAGACACCGTGAACAGAGATCCAGGTCTGGACAATGTTTCTGTTTACCAAGTGGAAAGTAATCGCCTGCACCTCTGCTGTCCAGGGGAGAGATTGAAGTTCCATTTTGTTTTAGTACTTGGGAGTCAGTTTTCTGGCTTGATCACAGGTGTGTGACATATGGCTCGTAGAGACATCCAGCAGATACTTTTGTTATACAGTTTCAGACTCTTTAGCAGTTTGAAGGTTGCTATTAAACTTTCATCAGCTGAGTTCTTCATCAGTGAGAGAATAACTGCCAAGACCGAGCTTTGATTCAGTATATTTATTTAAGGGGAAAATGCAGAGTTTCAGAATGTGCTCTGCAAGCTGAAAATAGTGAATGAATTACGTGGATTGGCTTGTTTGATGCTGTGCATCATTAAGTAGCAGCCACAGAACCAAAGCAGGAACGTTTTAATGAACATAATCAAGAGCAAAGACGCTATGTAAGATGCCATAAATACGAATGGCTGCTTCTGTGATCTCCCTCAGAGCCTGTGTGTGGACTTAAGTTTAAAATGAAATTTGATTGCATTCAAATTTTCATTCTGTCAAGCTCTGTCGCAGGGGAACCACAGAAAGACCATCCGTGTGCCAGGAATTGTTGCGGCTGCACTGAAATTCAAGATATTGAAAATATTTATTTCCCTATGCGGTTTGGCGTGTGTTATTACAATGAGGAAATAACACCGACTCGCTCCCTTGTGTAATCTGACCTTTTCATCTTCTGTCAAATGTGGCTTGACTCCCTGCATGAATTCCAGTGAAGGGTTATGACTTTGATTTCTTCATTGTGGAACGGGAGTATTGTGCGATGCTTTATAAAACAAGTAGTACTGGTGACATGTCTGGGGGAAAGTGCTTCTATTCTGTGACAGACTGTTCCTTTGGAGGTCTGCCCCGGTTAGGAAGCAGCTGATGAATCAACACAGTTGACATCCGTGTGCAGAAGACAGCTTAGTCATTCTGTCTTTACATACTTATCTGAGACAATGGCAATGATCCTGATGGAGGGCTTTGACCTGGATGTTGTCCCTGCGGAAAGGGACAACCCCTGTGGGAAGGAAGCGCCATTGTGGTTATCTCAAAGTGGATGACAATGAAAATATCACAATACATGACAGTTTGGTGCTTTCCTTCAGCTCCTCAAACCAAACCAAAGCAGACAATGCTCAGTCAGAAATAGTGTTTGACCTCTTCTCATGACACCACAACACACCACCACCACCACCATGTGTTCATGCTGCCGGGCAGTCTGAACACATTTTCTCATCTGATGTTACAAAAATAACCCATTGTTGACATTAGCTGAGCAAACAAATCATTTGTTACTGGGATCATATTTTGTTTTGGTTTAATATGAGATGAAGAGATGTAGACATGTGTTTCCCACACAATTGAAGGCATGTCAGGATGGGTTTAAGAGATTATTTAATAGTCAGCAGCGTGCAAAGGACTCAGGAAGGGGATGCCTGAGTGTTTGACCTCAGGATATGAGGCCAGGAAAGACAAACAATACAAAATAGGACTAAACATTAACGTCACAGAAGCTCAGACGTGGCACAAAGACACGTGTCGCCTCTTGTTCAGCCAGATGACTGGAAAATATTTTTTTATGTTTTGTTTCATACATTCGTCTCTAGATCTGATTATTATTTGTAACTTAATAATGGAAGGCAGAGGAAAGCTTGAGTTCCAACAGAATATGCCCGTAGTATGGCGTCTTGATTCTTGCAATATTCTCACTTTTATGGCAAAGCAGTTGGTGTAAATGTTCCCACTATAGTCGGCACTCCCCAAAAATAAAGCGAGAAGCTTTATTTGTTTGTTGTTTGATTTTTGCCAAAGTGATGAAATCACTAAATATCATTTGGGTTAGTTCTTTTTCTTCATGTCGTCATGGTTAGTGTCAGTATCACATGGGGATCACATGGGGATCATTTGAGGAGTGTTCCATTCATAATATTTACCAGGCATTTTATAATGCAACTTAAGTTTGAGTAAAACATGATGGGACAAAACAATATATTAAATTGCAAATGCATGTTGTAATTGAGGTCTCGTTTTCAAGGCTGTAGCGTAGGGCAACATCTGCAACAGGAAAGCTAATTGGGTCACTTGGAGAAAATGTCTGAAAGTTGAGTCATGGGATAGTAGGAGGTCTGTTAATGATTTCCTTCTTGAGGTAAAACAAAAACACAACAAAACAACAGGGTGGGATAATTGGTGTTTAGATTGTCTTTAAACAGTTCTCCAGTTGTCATTAACCAGAAACAGATGCCTGAGTGTTGATGAGGCTCCGGTTTGCTGCATTCCAGTGGAAGAAGAGGCCAGTTACTGTAGGTCATTAGCTTTGACCTTGGCTTGAGGAACTGCTGCAGTCATTGGAGCTGTTCACTTTATTACCCTCGAGACAAAAACAAAATATCTCACTGAAAGCCTACGCTCTCCAGCTCTGCTTGGATAATCAAGAATAGATTCCATTAGTAGGGAAGGATTAGGCTCTGTGGGAGTGAGGAGATGAACTTGTTCATAATCGCAAGGAAAGGAAGGAAGCTCGACGGGAAGACAGCGCGTGGGTCCATCCCTAAGATGCACTGCAGAAAACAAAAGGCCCATCGTCTCGCTCGACCGTGGGGACAGGGGGCGTGGCCTGGGGAGCATGTTACTATAGTGACCGCTCTGTCACTTAGCCCCAAGCTCTGTCTCGGTCAGGCGCTCTGCAGTGTACATAGAATCTGCCAAGAGTCAGCAGGATCAAAATCTGCCCTGGAAAGCACAGAGGCTCTGTTAAACCAACTACAGCTGGCAGAGGAGCTTTTTTTTCGAAACAGGGCTACAAGTTAGAAAACTTCACAACGCAGCATTTTTAACAGCCCTCGATCCCCCACCTGGTATGTTAAGCACTAACCCCCCCCCACACACACACATTATAGGCCTTTATTGAGTATAGGAAAGTGATTCTGGGGCTCGTGTTGTCAGATTTCTGGCAGATTGTGGTGCTTTGAGCTGCTACGGCTGTGAGGGAACTTTGCCGTAGGAGGGAAACTTCAGATTTTGTCACATTAAACTATAGTTGGGATGTTTCCCCTCTCCTTATTAAGCCAAAGACAGCATTGTTTAAAAGTCTCACTGACATTTCAATTCTCCTCACTGTTTGAGAGAACATATAAACTACAATGACTCTGCAGCTTTAACTGTATTTTTCCACTATTCAAAAAAGGACTAAACTGTTTTTGTGCTGTTGACTCCTGTGGTGCACTAGTGTCTGTGGCATAATGCAGTCCAGTACAACAACAACCATTAACTACACCCTCAATGATAAACATATAGTGTCAACAAAAACTGATCATCATAACCTTCCAAAATATAGAAGTGGGGTAGATTTGTTGTATTGGATTGCATTAAACTGTATTTTTGTACCTAAAAAGTGGGCCAGTGTACATTCCTGCGTTGTTGTTTTTTTACCCTGTACAGGCTCAAGACAGCACAGTTGAACCAGTGAAAACTGAAAAGCCTGCCTCTAGTCTCTTGCTGAACTGTGTATCCTGCAATAGGCCCGTCTTTGTTTGCATTGCAGACGCCTCACTGACTTTGGATCTAATGTGGCTTGACGTCTGTCTGTGTGTGTGTGTGTGTGTGTTTGCTCTCGTCTCAGGGTGGCCAAATGAACGGTTTAGCCTGAGGACCAAAGATCACAGGCCCTGTTCCAACAGCAAGGGAGAGAAAGACAGAGAAGCGTGATCGTTCTGCAGCCATTATCCAACTTCTTTTACACCATGAGCTGGATCTGAGAACGTGCTTCATATTTTCATTTTGTGGTAAGTTTTATACTTTATCCGTGCTCCACTTTCTGTTTACCTCTGCTTTTACCGGAGAATGTTTGCTGTGTTTTAAAGTTCATTAGTGAGCCACATTACATGTGGTTTACGTATGTGATGTTATGCTTGAATGTAACTAAAAGGTACAAATAAGCAATATGCTGCATTGAGGTATTCACATCATGACACAAATCAGGCACTGAGGTTATCAGTGGGTGCAATTTAGAAGTAAATGCAAACACAAACATGTGGATTGTGCAATTTGAGGACATCCATATGTTCTCTCGGTATTGTGACATGTGGTTCGACTTAGCGAAAAGTGTGCACACGTAAGAGCGGGACGGCTTTAGAGTTCATCATCATTTCACATGAGCAGGTTTTTTTTTCTTTCCCACAGTCAGCCACAACACAAAGCACACGTTACAGAGGAATGGCGTTAACATTTCGCTGGAACGATTAAAGGCACTTCCTTTTGATTTTGAACTGGTTTCTCCTCTGTTTGCCATCTAAACTCGTATGTGTTTCATGGTGTAACACCATGATGTCATCAAGCCAGAGAGATGGAAAATGTTCACAAAATGGCAAAGAGGAGGAAAATAAGCCAGAGTCAGCAGGAAAGGGCTGCAGGAGTAGGGGAGCCGAGGAGGGTTGACCCGACAGCACAATTCAATGCGGGCAAAAAAAACCCAAAAACATTTCCATTGAGAACCAGGCTTGTTTCTCCTGAAGACAAAAGCTACTGAGTGAGGAAGTAGCATGAAGGTAACACGGAGGATGTATAATAGTTACTGTAAACAAAGAACTGATTGTAAAGGAGAATGGATTTGAACTGTTCTTGTATCATATCTAGTGCACAGCTCCACAGGTTTTACTTTGAGAAGGACTTCCTTGGGAGCACACGGGAATGGTTTAAAACACAATAGAGCTCCTCAGACTGACAGGATGCCAGGAGGACAGACTAAATGTCAGTCAACAACACACTGCTCTTTTCCTCTGAGCTTCACAAATTGATCTGGGAGTCCCATCAGGCTGGAAGGAGTCCTTTGTGGGCACTTGGAAAATGTACCTCTTTTATAGAGGGCGCTGTCATGGTTCAGAGAAATGGCAGAGGCAGAGTGCCATGTGCCAAATGCGTTATGATGATCCCAGATTAAGCCAGTACTTTAGGAGGACACAGAGGAGCTTTTGTTTGACACTTGGAAGCCTCATCCCACCCACACTCCGTGACCTATATAGAAGTACCGTGGGCAGTGGGTTTGGGTCTAGGCGCTGTGGGTCTAGGCGCTGCACAGAATGTGACACTGTAGGAAGGGTTCTTGGGGAATATTTCAAAGACTTTCAAGCACCTGAAAAAGCGTTCAAATGCTGTCTATGTGTAGTTACATTACACACCAGTCTAATTTATTGTGGAGTCATAATAGGGTGTCATATGTTTGTTGTTTTTCAGGTGGGAAGAAATCAAAGTCAAGGTCACCATGGATGTGAAGAAAAAAGAAATGGACCTCCTGAGCAACAGCATAGCTGCATACGCACACATCAAAGGTAAGTCACAGCACAATAGACCAGTCATAGTGATCGCTATCCAATAGATCAAGTAGCATCCAACGTTGTTCATGTTGTTCTTTCCGTAGCAAACCCAGAGAGCTTCGGCCTTTACTTCGTGCTTGGAGTTTGTTTCGGCCTGGTGCTGACGCTCTGCCTCCTGGTCATCCGCATCTCCTGCAAGCCGCGGACCAACGTCGCCCCCACCACGCCTGAGAAAAAACACTTAAAGGACACCAGCGAGGAGGACGAGGAGAGTGAGGACGATGACGATGAAGACGGGGATGATGTAGAGGCACCTATCCCTTTGCCCAGCACAGAAATCCCTGTTGGTAATCATACCAGCCAATCAAATGGGACACTGAGTGTGAACGTGTTTACTTCAGCTGAGGAGCTGGAACGGGCACAGCGACTGGAGGAGAGGGAACGAATCATACGTGAGATCTGGAGGAATGGCCAGCCTGACATCCTGGGGTCGGGAACAGGTACTATCGGAAGAGTGCATTACTACTAAGACACACAAGGCTTCAAGAGAAACACTGTGAGCCCCGTGAAGGACAGACATAGACCTTTGGGTGGGCCCGATGTCCCTGAAGCCTGGGAGACTTGTGTTTGATACAATGCAACATCATGGAAACAGGACAACAGTGATGTGACACTTTGATTGGCCAACACTCAGCCCTGACAGAGCTGAACTATGTGATATTGCACTTCCCATGTAGCAATGTTATTTTCAACTGACTACATGAAATATAAACCAAGAGGTGTCTTAAAGACTGATTGATCCATATGGAAAAGATGCAGTATGAATGTGGGAGCTGACAGACACTTGAAGTAATCAGTCTGTTAAAATGTATGGCGCTTAATGACAATAATGCACACAGTTAGGTTTATGTATGTAAGAAGTGGAAAATGAAAGCATATATTAGGACAATGTATGTACTGTATGTTGCAATGAAGATTTTCTTTTGTTTGCAGTGAGGACAATTCTCCTCTAGACTGGTTAGTTTGTGGGGGAAAGAAAACAGGAAATTACATTATTTGAACAAACACATATCAATCAGTGTGGTGGGTCAGATTACGCAATATGATATAAAGACAATTACAATTGGACTCTTTAATTTATCAGTACATTAAATCCATGTCTGTGTTTTCAGGGATAATTCTACCAAAGGAAATGACAGAATTAAAGTATTACGCTTAAAACGTTTTCTGCTGTTGTTTCTCTTCATATTGCTTTGGGCCTTGATGGAGAATCAAGGGACAGAGAGAGAGAGAGAGCGGTACAATTATGGTTATATGTTTTTATAAGGTGGACTCTGCCTGGTGGAGTGAGACATGAGGGTTGTGAAAGGAGGATGTTCTGATAACAGAATGGGATAACTCAGTCGGAACCGGTTCCGTACGGCAGCCTACATCACTCAAGCGCACCCTTGGAAAGGCGGTCCATTTACCACCTGTCACACCTGCTCACTAATTTGTTGCTTCTACTGCAGCTCTTGTCGTATTTCCTAGACAAACTTGCCCGCTAAAAGTCCAGCCATGTTACTTAAGAACGGTTTTATGGATTCATAATCCGTAAATGCGTCGCTCATCCCCGTCTTCTCCGTCGGTCACGTCAGCTGTCCAATCACGCGCGTCCTACCTGCGTTTTCCTTCACCTGCTGTCGACAACTTGGGACCTCAGCGCTTCCTCAAGCTAAGTGCAGCTAATGTATCTAACGTGTATCGTGAAGAATGTCTTAGCTGTGATAAGTTGCTGACAACAGAGCAAAGCAATGCAGCTTGTTTTTTAAGCCACGCCAGCAGCGAGGCTTGTAGGGGCGGTCAGTTGGTCAACCACTGTGAACCAGACTGAGCCATTTGATGGATTGCCTTGCCATTTGTTTACAGACATTCACTTTCCCCAAAGGGTTAATCCTACTGACTTTGGTGACCCCCCCCCCCCCATGAGGTTGACATTTTTATTTTATATATAGTCAAATCTGATGAATTGCCATGAAATGTATTGCAGATATTCAAGGATCCCAGAGAATACATTTCTTTCTTTATTGACTTTCTTGACTCGCGGACTTTTCATCTTTTAATTCTTCACCTATGAATTTAATCATCCCAACAGCTACTGGAAAGATTGGCACAGACATTCATGGTTCCCAGAGGATGGATCCTAATGACGCTAGTGATCCCCTGACTTTTCCACTGGTGCAACCAGCAGGTTGACATTTTTTGTCTCCAAGTGAAATGTCTGGAAAGTTATTAGATGAATATCCTTAACAATCATGTTCCCCACAGCAGGGGCATGCCAAATTATTTGGGGGGGGCTGAAGAACATTTTAGGGGGGCCCCTAACGACGCCCCTACCCCACGCATGAATAGCAGTAACTTATCATGCTCCCCTGACATTTCATCTAAGTCTAAGTCGATTTACAAACAAATGCATGCAAAACTAATGACATTCAGCTGTACTTTGAGTTCAGCACTACATTTTTAAGATGAACATAGTAAATATTGCAAAACAATATTGAGTGTCAGCAAAACATCAGTATTGACTTGCTGACATTAGTATTTCGCTCAAATTACAAAGTATAGAATTGCTGGCGTGGCTTAAACTTTAAGCTTTGTTAAGTTCTCTTTCAGTCTTTTTTGCGTGTCTTGGAGACTGTTCGCTGCTAACTTCTGCTCTATGTTGATATCTGTCTGCTGGCTGAATTTGCTTTTATGCTGTTAATTCTGTGGCTACTTGTCGTCTTTTATGCTGCTGAAACATGCTGGTTGTTTATTTCTGCACTAATGCTTTTAAAATGATGGCTGCCAATGTTTGCGCATATGCTGTTTAACTACGTGCAGTGTGTTGGCATTGGTAGTAATTGGAAATAACTGAATTGATTTCCCGTCAGAGTTCATTTCTCCTCTGGGCTGTTTGGCATGTGCATAATGATGCTTTGCTGCTTTTTTATACAGGCTTTGTTGGTTTGTGGCATGCTTCCTTCTATGTTGTTGAAATTGTTTTGCAGGGGTGCTTCCAGCTTCTGGTATTCAAACATAACTCTTGTCCAGCACACAGCCTGTTTACATAATGATTTCACTGTAATGTTATACCATTGGCTTCATGAGCAAACACAGCATGTCTTTTGTCACTTTCACGTTTTCTTCAGACACTTCATATTTGTCTTACAGAACTGTTTCAACTGGGTTTTTGTGACAGCTGTTTGTGTTCTGTACTGTTCTGTAACTTCTACAGTTACATTGCTGCTCAATTCTACTGCCTTCATTGTACTGATGGTTATCTGTAGCTGCTATCTCTGCTACATAATATCTCTTCGTTGCGGGGGAATGGCCCACACATAGTAGCGTCCGTATACTAGCTGGTGTCATGCTCTGTATCTATTGTGGTTTTGGAGGGAGTGTATTATCCTCACTCCCACAATTACTTTGGTGGCAAGGTCTGAGCTTATCGTATGTGGCCAATGTCAACTCTGCATTCATGTAATAAATCATCTTCATGTGAGTGAACTGACGGCCAAAAAAGACTTACAGAAAGAACATTGATGACCTGCCCACACTAGGTGAGTGTTTGTACTGGACGTCATCACAAGTTAATCGTTTGGTGGTTTATACAAAGCAGTGAAATTATGCATTCTTGGCATGTCAATAAAGCCACACAAAAGGAAAAATACACAAACTACTTATCCATGTTGGGCATGTGTCCACATTCTTTCTGCTGGCCAACCTTGAGCCAGAAACTTTTAGTCTTTGTGCTGTGAAGCCGGTGTGGCGTTGCTCGAAGGAAGGTCTTGGTTTGTGATGGCAGGCCAAGAACTTCCACTGGAGTCGGCCTCGAAGTACAAACTGTGCTGGAGGAGCAGACAGGCTTCAGGTTTGCCTTGGGACCCGCTCTTGTTTTCAGATTGAGCCCACACCGAAGTCCTCTCTGTTGAGGTCTTGTTGTGGTCACAGGCCTAAATCAGTGGCATTGATGGTGTGGACTCTTTGAAGTAGCTGTGTGACTATTTGTATCAATCTCTTGTGAATGGCGTCTACCTCAAAATCATAGGACTCTAAAAATGTTTCACCCGACCCACGATTCAATATTTTGAATTGTCTCTTTTTCATTTTACAGGATGTAATGAGAAGCAACATGTCTTAGGCTTATGGTAATTATACAGTTTTGAAACAATGCATCACCAAAATTAAGTGAGCATCAGCATGAGGGAAAGCCATAAATCGGAACCACAACACAGCGTGGGAAAGATCTCTGCAAAGTCGAACATAGTACGGACGTTTTTTGTGGTTCTTTGGCTGATTTCAGAAACCAGGCTTTACTCATGATAACGTATGTATAGCTACATGTATGCTATTTGTCCACTGCTTTAATTGATACATTTTATTATAATGGCCAAATTTCAACTTTTTTGAGTCGAAAATTGCACTAGCTTTGTGATTATGAATCTCCTTAAAAGGATTTTTTAAATATGCTGCAGATTTATTGCAATTTCCCATGAGGTCCTGCATATGACTCGTTTCGGCATCTGTCCAACTCCTTTCTTTGACAGAGGCAAACTGTTCTCCGTCAGCTCCTCTTTCTCTACTTCTAATTTTAACTCGGAGGGGTTTTTTTGTGTTTGACCTCTGAGCTCCAAAATGCTCCAGTTATCCACACTCAGTTTTCAGTTCTCCCAACAGTTCCATCTTACTTGTCTTACATTCCTGAGATAGTACGGTGCCGTATGTACAAACGGTGTATTATAATATATAGCCTGTTGTATAAGCAGCACCCGACATTATTGAATATTTTAGAGGTCCCTCGTTGAATAAAGTAAAATATTCTCTTGTTTTTACAGGGCTACAGAAAGGCCAGTTATTTTTCATAACTTGCAAAAATCCAGCAATATCCACCTTTGTTTAGTTTCATTTATGGGCGCGACTTAAGTGGAGAGCAGGGCCGCCTTCAATCAGAGGATCGGCGGTTCGATCCCCGGCTCCGCTGGTCGCATGTCGATGTGTCCTTGAGCAAGGCACAACCCCAAAATTGCTCCCGTAGCTGTGCCTACGGTGTATGAATGTGAATCTGAATTGTAAGTCGCTTTGGATAAAAAGCAACTGCTAAATGACTGTAATGTAATGCAATGTAATTTCACCCCTTGTCCAAGAGGGAATGTGCTCTTAATGGCCATTATTTAACAGTTTTTAAAAATAGTATGTTCCCATGGAAGCACCCGGTCCCTTATGAGCTCCAGATGTTCTCCAGATGTGCTCTACAGTGGGCAACACGAGTAGGCTTAGACAGGAGCACACCACCACTGCCACCAAACTCCATCTCAACACATTCTATTGAATGAAATACGCTTTTTGTTTTCTAATGTGAAGTCACTATTGTATGATCGCTTCCACCAATCGTTGACTGAAAAGTTTAACCCTACTCTTTATGTAGAATAGTCATACAGTGCCCCCCAGTGGATTGATGCAGCATTACATCCTGCTGTATAAAATCACCTCCATGTCAAACTGTTAGACAGCTGTAGTTAAGGTATTAACATTCAAGTAACAATGCCCCTTTGGATGACTTAAAATTATATTTTAGGTCTTTGCAAAAGACAATATTTCCTCCTATGTACAGCTGCATATTTTACATACTCTGCCAAGGCATATGTTAAAGTTAAAAGTACTTGTAAACCTAGTGAAGTTAACAAAAGTGACAGTTGAAATGGAACAGTGTAAAACATTAATTTGCAACAAAGAGTAACCGCCTAATAACCAGCATTTGTCATTTCCAGCATTCAAATATGTAAAAAACTTTAACAGTACATTTAAAAGTCTTCTCAATTATTAAGTTTCTCCGGTCCAGTGCAGGATTAGCTTGATCCTATGTCCAGCTTTGTAATTTAGCCCTTGCTTGTGTTTCTGCAGTGGGAGAGCTAGCTTGTCTTCTCCATATCCCCATTCCACTTCAGAAAAATGTTGATCCCCGTTTTAAATTTGCAGTACGCAAGTCCACATAGCACAGTGTCAGACAGGCCACCCAGTCACAGTCTGTGTTGGGATTATTCCTTCCACAAACTGTGTACTTCCTCCTGCAAGGAAAAGACATTTTTTTTTTTTACACAATCAATTACACCACATGTCACGATCTTTGGAACCGCAGCTTCTGTATTATCGTCTTTTGGCAGAATGCCGAAGGCATAAAGTTTGATGCATGCAAAACTCAGGGCATGCCTCACTGACCTGCAGTGCAACTCGTTTGTTTCCCTCCTCCCTCAGTTCTTCTCTCACTTCCTGCATGTCTCGGCTGATCAAAAGGGACAGAAGTAAATGATGAGTTTGCAGACATGGGTTTGCTTAAATAGGTCACGATGTATACTAGCAGTCAAGTCATATGAATAAATGTATAGATGAATTATATTGAAACAGAAATGGCTTTTATCTTCTTCTTCTTATCCCTCTAATTAAGCACAAGTAGTACACAATTGTTCTAAATATGCCTTTTAAATATATCAATATGTTTTAATAATAATAAAATATGCCGTTTCATAATACCTTTAAAGCTACTCTGTCTGTAATCGCATGTCGAGGGCTCTGAATGGCTTACAGAGTTCAGTTGCCAGGAAATCATGTTTCGACAATGCGCACAGCGTAGCTCATGTTTACCAACCAGTCCTCTCTGATGTTTCATATCAAAGCAAATCACAGAGATGCAAAAGATCGAACACTGTTAAGCCTGTGTGTGCTAGTGTCCGCAAATAACACCAAAATTCATTATGAGGGTCCATATGCACATTTTTCAGTTAAGGAGGATGAATGTTACTAAGAAGTCCCTCTTTTTGATTCAAGATGACTGAACCGTTTTTTTTTGTTTTTTTAAACACCTCTCAGCTAAACTGAATCAGTTGCTCAGGTGTGAATCATTATAAAAAAATGAGTATTACTCACTCATGTTGTGTCTGCAGCAGCTCCAGAGCCATCCTCAGCTCTTTGATCTCAGCCTGCAAGCTTTCCACCGTTGCTTCTTCTTCATGGGTCACAGCTTTGGCACACACAACTGCTCTCGGTGGTGCTGGTCGAACCGGAGGCGGAGTCTTGGGTCGATGATCAGGCTTTGCGGGCAATGGCAGGAGATTTTCTGTACCCTGCAATGAATTTAGGTGGCTTAGACCACTGTGCTTCATTTGCTTTATGCTAGAATATTCACGCTAAATGAGATGTAAAATGATATACAACAAAGATCATATATATATATATATTGTTTTTTTCTTGAATTCAAACCAGTGAGGTTTCCTAAAAATAAAACGCATGTGATGTGTTGTATCTAGAAAGAAGTCAATGTCACAAACCTTTTGCAAGCCAGGTAATTTCTCTGTCTGCAACTTTTTGGGGGAAGATTCAGGTTCTGTCTGATCAGTGGCACCTTGATCCTGCAAAGGAGCATATGCTATGGCAATCATTGCTAATAATCATTCCTCACATAACCTGCCCTAAGAACTCTCATTCTCCTGTGCGTCTGTCTTCTGAGCAGCCAAGTACAAACCATACAATTACCCTCTAGGGAAGAAATTCCTTCATTTCCCAAAATGACTTATAATGAAGCCCTAAGACCAGGCCCAAACTTGTTGCTGTCAGTGTAAAATGGGCTTGTGTGATGCGTCTATTACTAGGCCCTTTCAGTTTAAGAAAGCAAGTACTTTTACCTAACAATTATGTCCAAGATAAAGTAGGGAGTTGCCTCTTTGTTGCAGCGATAATCTCAAGTTTCAAAGGTTATCTACAGAAGTGGTGGTAAGCACCACCTATGTGGTTTAGCAGGTTGTCTGCGGTTGCTGCCTCAGTTAAGTGTTCATTATGTAACTCTCCACTTGAACGTTGGAGGCAAAAGTTGTGACGAGTCAATATTATTCTGTCACTGTTGTGGACATACTTGTGCTGCTGTAACCAGGCCTGATGGGGGTCTCCTCTGCGGGGGTTTGGCTCTGTTTGCCGTAGGATGGCAGAGCTTTTCAGTCTGCACATCCACTCCATAAAATTGGTCGGTCTCTTTCTCTTCCGGTTGTTTTGGCGAAACGGGAGCCACATCACCGTTGGTTCTGCTGAAAAGAGAGTAAAATCTTAAAAGATTTAAATTGATGTCAACCTTTTCATTGCAGTAGAAAAGTGCGAAACATCACATTTCTTCTCTGAGGTTATGAAACCTGCAGTGCACACACCAGCTGTAGTCGACATTTTTAGAAGGAAAGAATATTTGAATGTCTTTTCTGAACTCTGATGTGTGCAGAGCATAGCAGCTGAAGTTTTGGAGTCTGTATCTTATTTTGTCCTGGCACATGTTTCACTTTCACAGCGCATACTGTTTTTAATGATGGCAGATCCCCTGAGTCACAACTCAACTTCAATCCCCTTTATACATTGCTTAGATCTGATAGTAGGTTTATAAATGGTCTTGAGGAAAGATTTTTCCGAATTAACAATGATTCTTAAAGAAGCTTGAAAGGTGTCTCTTGGAAACAATTTTCAGAAAAAGCTTGTTCTCCATTAGCAGTCTCTCTAGCGCTGTTTTTGTTTTGGCAGTTATTTTTTGTGAGCGTGCCCGTTTGTGTGCGTTTTGCTCAGGAAACAGGAAATGGGCTGCTCTCGTCTGTTTAGGCCCGATCTGACTCATCCCAGAGTTTCCACTGAGCCGATAAAGGTCGGGCATCCTGGCATTCTTCTTTAAGGACACCATGGCAACTGGTGGCGGCAACCAAAACCTTTTAATATCTAAAGGCTCCTCTCCTTGTGCCAGACCAAAGAGGAGAAAGTGTTCCTGACATTTCCTAAAGGCCTTTTACTTTGGAAAGGTTGCAAATTAATCACTAATCGTGTCTCTGATTTGGAAGCCATATTCCCGAGTAACTCTTCAGTGATTTTGCGTGGAGATTAGCCGTGAGACACAACATCAGCATTGTGCATTTGGTGTTGGCATCACTCACTTGGGTAAAACCTTGCTGGGTTTGCCTTTGACTGGAGGCGGGCTGGGCTTGTTGAAGGATGGCAGCTTGACTTTGGTTGGAGGATTGCTTCTCAGGTCCTTAACCTCTGCTTTATCATCTGGAAAGCAAATGCATCACATTACTGCATAGCAGTATTTACCTTTTTAAAAGGAATGTGTCAGTATGATATTATTATTATAATAAAAGCCACTGCCATTTATACCTTTCCTCTTTGCTGGAGTAACTTTCTCCATCGCTGAGGCCTCTGTCTTCACTGAGAAAGCAGTAGTGAACCGTTATCACAAAGTTTCATTTGGTATGTAAATAGCACAGCTGCACTTTAGATTAAATATTAAAAGTATTTGATTTGCTACACAATTAAGCAGAGATATCCTACATTGGGATTTTGTTAGATTGTTTCCCTAAGCTAACTACTTTGAGTGCTCTCAAACTTCTGTGTATTTCCCAGGTGTCATTGTGTGTAACGATTTTAATATAGAGCAGGTTGTTGGAAAAAAAGAGCACCCTCGGCAAAAGTACCGCTACAAACTTTGACATCGCCACTTATGTTTATGTCTTATTGTTTTCAGTGATGTAACGTAGGAGAGCTATTACCACTAGTAAGAAGCCGCTGGCTTATTTTATTAGTCACAGAATTTGTTTACCCCAGAAAGCATTATGGTTTAATGTGGTGGAGAACAAAATGCCACTGATCTTTCAATTAAACGGCAACCTAGTTTATGAGCAGTTGCATGGGAAGACAAAGATGGAGCATACAATGTCACAGCCGTATCCAATAGCACTGCAGTAACAGCTCCCGAGGGTCTCAACAAGTTATTCAGGGACTGTCACTCTACCACTGTCACTCTGCCTCAACTCATAGAAAGAAAAAAATACAGTCCCTGAGAGAACTTGAATTAGGAAGGTAATGTGAGAGATTCCCGTTTATCATACAGTCAAGAGCTCATTTCAAACAGAAGATGTTGAGGAGCTTGGTTACCGATCTACCTACATATAAGCACAAATCTATGAAGTAAAACTGCTCTAATGCATAGCCTTAAAGATAAATAAATAATAGTAACTATACTTTGCACAGCGTTTAGAATCAGAGATGAATAAAAGACCGAATGAGAACACAGGAAGCCTACCTTGAGTGTTCAAAGCATTGTGCAACATTCCCTCTCAAGCAAACCATCCACACAGCAAAAGTAGCTCAAGTGCTGCGTCTTGTGCTGGTTGTGAAAATCTCTGTGACAGAGCCTCCTCCGCCCCCCCCCCCCCCCCCCCCCCCCCCCCCCCCCCCCCC